GAGGGACTGTCCGACAGTTGGGACAGTGGGATCCAGGAAAGCTTTGTTGAAAGAATGCATGAATGGACTGCTAAATAATCCCCCAAAGTGGAATATTTAAGCCTAAAAAGTTTTCCAGTTTCCCAAAGCCACTGAACCCTATTTGTAACCATTTCTTTCTTCCCTGCAGGAGCCTGGATGACTGTCTTTCTTCTGCTAGGCTTGCTGCTGGAATAAAATCCTGCCCAGATATTTCCCCCAACTCTAGTCTTTGGCTTCTAGTTTCATTGTCTGAGCTAAGGGTGGGGTGGAGGAAAATTTAGGGAGAGAGAAGTAGTCTGTCCTTTTGTCAGGGAGTGAAGATGGAACCGCTATGTGTCCCAACTTCTATCTGGTACTACTACTATCTTTTGTTGTTGTTGTTGTTTTGGTTTGTTTTTTTTTTAAGATTTTATTTATTTATTTGACAGAGAAAGAGAGATCACAAGTAGGCAGAGAGTCAGGCAGAGAGAGAGGGGGAAGCAGGCTCCCCGCTGAGCAGAGAGCCTGATGCGGGGCTTGATCCCAGGACCCTGAGATCATGACCTGAGCTGAAGGCAGCGGCTTAATCCACTGAGCCACCCAGGTGCCCCTGGTACTACTACTATCTTGAGCTGAGCCTCGAGCTGTGCTTCCTCATCCTACCATCCTTTCCCAGCTCCAGAATTCTTCCAAAGGCAGGGCTGGGCTGCTCAATGTGGTAAGGGGCTGGGCAAAGAGAATGGCCAATAAACAGCAAGAAATTCTACTTTGACCTCCTTTTCTGTGTAACCTAACTACAGATCTTGTGTATATATGAGAAGTCACTTTCTTCTCTATGGCTTCTCTATATGTGAAAGACTTTGACCAGATCATCTGTTTCAACGCAGGGACTGAATGACTGGTTCCAGGGAAGGTGTCTGGGCATTGGCCAATTGGTCCTGTCCTCTCTTCTGCAGAATGGACGGAATGGACATTCAATTTCAGAATTAGGATTAAATGATTCCATATGATATATTATCATGCCTATTAATTACTTCCGACCTCATAATCCCCCTCTCCTTCCTAATAGAGGGTGATATAGGGAGCAGTGTTTGTGCTACTGTCATTTATCCATTCAAAATGGGCTGGAATCTACTATGTACCAGTTCCTGTGTTAAGCCCTGGGGATTCAACAGTATATAAGACATGGTCTTTGGACCTTACAGAAAGGACAGTTGAGTCCAGGAAGTAGGTAATATGGACCAGGAAACAGGATAGTCTTTGTAAGCTGGCAGAGGTGGATCTTTCACAAAATCGCAAGAAGGCCTTTTTTTTTGTTGTTTTGGTTTTTTTTTGTTTTGATGTCTATGATCATTTTGGAAATTAATTTCTTGGGAAAATATTTTGGTACAAACAACAATAAAAGCTGAACTTAACAGTCCTAATGTCTCATTTGCAAGAAACTTTCTTGTCATTTAATGCTTTCACAGCTCCTGAAAAAAATTAAGTCGGATGATCAATACATATTATATTTTTAGGTACACCAAAATCACACATTCATTAAATCAGCACACAAGTAACTACATTTAATTGGGAATTCATATTCACTTTATGGGTCTGGAGTAGTTTATTTATTTATTTATGAGTAAACTATTTACTCATAAATATTTATAAATATAATATAAGGGCATTAACCCATGCTCTTATTTAAAATATACCCTGGGGGCATCTGGGTGGCTCAGCTGGCTAAATGTCTGCTTTGGTTAAGCATCTGCCTTCAGCTCAGGTCATGATCTCAGGGTCCTGGGATCTGAGCCTTCTGTCAGGCTCCCTGCTCAGTGGGGAGTCTGCTTCTCCCTCTGCCCCTCTGGCCCCCACCCCCATACTCTCCCGCTCTCTCAATTAAATAAATCAAATCTTTAAAAATAAAAAATTAGGGCGCCCGGGTGGCTCAGTGGATTAAAGCCTCTGCCTTTGGCTCAGGTCATGATCCCAGGGTCCTGGGATCGAGTCCCACATTGGGCTCTCTGTTCAGCAAGGAGCCTGCTTCTCTGTCTCTCTCTGCCTGCCTCTCTGCCTACTTGTGATCTCTGTCTGTCAAATAAATAAAATCTTTAAAAAATTAAAATTAAAATTAAAAATTAAATAAAATATATCCTGAAGGATAAAGGCAAAAAGATTATGACTATACTATACTAAATATCTCCAAAAGAAAATAGAATGAAACAAAATTAAGTAAACAAGGAAGCTATTGAACTTGAACTATACTTGGTTGAGCGCATGAAAGAAACCTCTGTGCTTTGTAACAATAGATGCTTATAAATTAAGCCACTGGACAACACTAATGCATGCGAAAAGTGGTAGCTCTAATGATATGATTATAACTAAGATGCAGTTAGTTTTCTCATGTTCTTTAAGCTGAGGTGGCACATATCTGGCTAACTTTTTTCAATCATATCAGGTGATAGTTCCATTGACATCTTATTTTTTATTTTTTTCCATTGACATTTTATTAAATTTTCAGCAAGTCTTTTTTTTTTTTTTTTAAGATTTATTTATTTTGGAGAGAGAGAGCATGCGCGAGCAAGCAAGCATGGAGTGGAGAGAAGGGGAGGGAGCGAGAATCTCAAACCCACTCCCTGCTGAGCTGTGGAGCGCAGTTTGGGGCTCAAGCCCACAGCCCTGAGATCATGACCTGAGCTGAAATCAAGAGCCAGACACTTAACCGACTGAGCCATGCAGGGACACCTTGCAGCAAGTCTTTTTAAAATAATATAGTAACTGAAGATTTAAGACTACCTCTTATCTAAAAATTGATTGTGAATATTCTCTGAAGTTAACACCAAATCGTGGTTAAAATATGAAGACTCAATCACATTTGAAAATTAGTAGTATGATAATGGAGTTACTTTTATTTTTTATTTTTTTTTAAGATTTTATTTTTATTTTTATTTATTGGACAGAGAGAGAGATCACAAGTAGGCAGAGGAGAGGCAGGCAGAGAGAGAGGAGGAAGCAGGCTCCCCGCTGAGCAGAGAGCCCGATGTGAGGCTTGATCCCAGGGTCCTGGGATCCAGTTCTAAGTTGGGCTCCCTGCTCAATGGGGAGCCTGCTTCTCCTTCTGCCTGCTGGTCCCTCTGCTTGTGCGTGCTCACACTCTCTCCAACAAATAAACAAAATCTTTTTAAAAAATTTTTAATAAAAAGAAATAAAATACAGATATCTGGGGCACCTGGTTGGTTCAGTTGGACCATGCGACTCTTGATCATGTTGTGAGTTCTTGGGTATAGAGATTACTTAAAGATAAAATCTTTTAAAAAATCCATTGGAGGGGCGCCTGGGTGGCTCAGTGGGTTAAAGCCTCTGCCTTTGGCTCAGGTCATGATCCCAGGGTCCTGGGATCAAGCCCTGCATCCGGCTCTCTGCTCAGCAAGAAGCCTGCTTCCCTCTCTGTCTGCCTCTCTGCCTACTTGTGATCTCTATCTGTCAAATAAAAAATAAATAAAATATTTTTAAAAAATCCATTGGAGTAAACTGTACAAATGCAGTATTTGCCATTTGTAAATTTAAATCTTAGCACTACCATTATGTTTCCAATTAGGTTTGTCTTCCCTTCTCTGCATCAGCTCTTCAAATCCCACCCGTTCTTCTCAGTCCTCTACAGGTCCCTGTTCCCTCCCTCTTCACAGATGTTTCTCACAAAAGAAATAGAAGCAATCAAGCAGATGTTTCCACCACCCATCAGTCTACTTCCTACCCACTAGTCCACAAATTTATTCATTTAGCTATGTATCCTTACCATTTATTTTTTTTTAATTTTTTAAAGATTTTATTTATTTATTTGACAGAGATCACAAGTAGGCAGAGAAGCAGGCAGAGAGAGGGGGAAGGAAGCAGGATCCCTGCTGAGCAGAGTTCCCCATGCACTGCTCGATCCTAAGACTCTGGGATCATGACCTGAGCCAAAGGCAGAGGCCCCAACCCACTGAGCCACCCAGGCGCCCTACCATTTATGTTTTAAAAAAAGCGTTTGGTCCTAATTTCAGAGAATACCCCCTAAATGCATCTATCACATCATACCCTGATTCATTACCCATTAAGCCTATTTTATGCCTTCTATATGCTTACCTTAAAATGTTATATGAAGCTGGGGGCGAGGTGGGGGAACGGAACAGAATTTTGGAGCACATCCCCAGAGTCCTAACTCTGAAGTGAATTTCATCAGGTAATTAACTCTCTTTAAGTCTGGTTCTTCAAAGTTAAGAAATCCCACAAGTTTTCCATGCCTCTCCCTCCCAAGTCAGGTTTCCAGAAACCTGGAATTTTTCACTATCCTTTGGCTGATGGCTTTGTTCCTCTTTTTAACAATTCCCCAGCGTGATTCTTAAGAATATATTAATGCAAATGAACTTAGTTCTTTTCCTGGGGACCGAGGTTGGGTAGGGAGGCAAGATCGATCTGTTAGTTACCCTTCAACCTGAGTTCTGGTCACAGTCTGACCACTGACCCTAAGCCAGCCCAAGCCCCGACCCCAGCCACAGACAGCACTAACCCTGACATGGCAGTGACTCAGGCCACTCACTAACTCGGGACCACTACCTGACTGACCCCCTAGTTCATTTCAGATGGGAGGCATTTCAGATGGGAGTACTGACAGGCCGTGGGGAATGGGAGAAGGGTGGGGCAGGTGTTTGGGGATGGGGCTCCCGAATGATTTTCCCTGGCCTCCAGCTCCTCCAGAAGCCCAAGCCCAGCAAGCCACTCTCGACCCGAGAGACGAGGGCTCCGCCCATAGGCGAGACCTGGCTAGAGGCTGAAGAAGAGGCTCGGAGGAGCGGCGGGGTCATGCGCAGAGAGATCCGGCCGCTCCCGGCGCGGAGCGCAGCGTGCGGGGGCGGGACACCGGCGCGGCCAGACTCCTGATTGGCCACTGGCGGGCAGAAAGGGGCGGGGTGGGGCGGCGCGCGCTCTGAGGCGCGCGGCCTGGCGGGTGTGTAACGGCCGTTAGGCGAGCTGAAGAAGTGAACTGCCGCCCGCGGCCGACGTAGTGGCCGCAGTCGGCGTTCCTGGGTTAGGGATTTCGCCGCCCGCTTTCGGCCCTACGTAAGTCCTCCTCCCTTCGGGAGCCCCTCTCGGGCTAGGAGACCCCGCCCCACCTTGGGGAGCCCGGGAGGAGCCCCAGAGGACCCCAGACACTCATGACCTACCTTCTTTGGGGGCCGTGGGAGAGCGAAGCGCATGCGCGGAGCTATTAAGTCGTCCCCTCTGGGTTTTTCACCCGCTGGGCTTCCTAAAATAATGCCCCGCACACGCCCCCTCGCGACTCGCTTGCCTCCCTGCCCTCTTCGTGTGGCTTTCTCCATCGTTCACTCCCTAGCAGTTGCTTTACCTTTGTAAAGGGTAGGCCCTGTGCCAGTCGCCGGGGGAGGGGACGGCGGGTAGCAGGTTGCGGAGCGGACGGTCCCAGAGAAGAGTAGACGTGAAGCGGGTGCCGACTCGGTTAGGGCTGCATGGTGTGGGCTGGAGAAGTACACAGCATTAGGCAGAAGGCGCCGGTGTAGTCCGAGAGGGCAGGGAGCCCTCCCTGAGGAAGGGAAGTTGGGGCTGGGGGTTACAGGATGAATAGGGACTTAGGGTTGGGAGACAGCTCTTGTGAAGGCGCTAGGCTGGAGTTTCCCAGCCCGCACTGGTAGTTGACAGTGTCAGGAGACATTTTCATTTGCGGCAACTCAGGGATTGCTCCTGGTACTAGTGGATAGAAGGTCAGGCCTGCTGCGAAACATCCAACTTTGTGCAGCACGGCTTTCCCCCCCTCCCCCGCCTCCGGCTCCAAGCAAAGATTTATCTGACCTAAAATGTCAGGAGCATCCAGATTGTCTAGACCACCTGCTCTAGATGAGGCAAGGAGGAGCTGGTGCTTTGGACTGACTACAAGTTTAGTGGGTTACAGCGAATTTGTTCAGTAGAGGGTATTCAGCCCTCCCATAGCGCTAAAACAGGAAGATCAGAACCCCGTTTGCCTTTTACACCAGGGTATTTCCACCACATGGCACAGAGCCAGGCGAATAGTAGGCCCTCAGTAAATTTTGTTTGATGAATCGAATACTGTGTGCTAGGTACGGAAGGGTTATGATATCCAGGATGATTAAGATAATGCCCCTAGGCCTTGTAGGTTTTATAATGATCTGGTGGTGGTGTAGGTCTCAAGACTTTGTAAAGGCAACTTCTTGGGAAGAATTTGGCTTCTCTTTCTTTAGGTCTGGTTTAATGAATGATCAAGGTCATGAAAATACTGCCAGGGTGTGAGATTCCTTCTTTTAATTATTATTAAAGATTTTATTTATTTATTAGAGATCACAAGTAGGCAGAGAGGCAGGCAGAGGGGAGGAAGCAGGCTCCCCACTGAGCAGAGAGCCCAATGTGGGGCTCGATCCCAGGACCCTGGAACCATGACATGAGCGGAAAGCAGAGGCTTTAACCCACTGAGCCACCCAGGCGCCCCAGTGGTGTGAGATTCTTAATGCGCTTTTGTCAGCTACGTATCCCTTCATATCCTCTCCTGTCTTGATGTGGATTCTCAACAGCTGCCAGTGTGACATTCCACACTAACATTGTAATTCTTCAAGGGGAGAAATACTTATAACAGTCAAAACCTAATTCTTGGGAGGCAACTTGGGAAATAGAGCTGGGGTGGTGACCAAGAGCAACGTGAAGAAATTGTATGCGCTGTCCCTTCTTCTAACTACTTTGGGGCTTTTAGCTCTGGCTGTGTCTGAAGCAGAAACTCCCAACTTATGGTGCCTTCATAACTACCTTTATTTATTTTTGTCACACAGAGAAAGAATGCAGGCTAGAATCTGTATAGCATTAGAACACAGTCCTGACTTTGAAGCCTCTTCCTAGCTATATGACCTTCCCTTCTCTCAACCTTCATTTTTTTTCATCCATAAAATAAGGGTAATAACTGCCTCATAGATTTGATGTGAGCATTAAATATAAGACATTATACCTGTAATATAGTGTTTAGCACAGTGCTTTGTGGGTAGTAAATATTCAGTACTTGTTAAATTTGTTGAATGAATACTTCAGCAGTTTAAAGGGCTTTGAAGATAGAAACCATCAATGCGGGCATTTCTTCTGTCTGCTTCCATTCACTCCTACCTTTATTGGCTGTGTAATTGGTTATTTTTGTTACTTCTTATACATTCATTTCTTTCACTTTTATCTCAGGAAATCTTTATGTCCTTCAGATGGTCCTAGAAACCATCAGTAGCTCATCTACTTCTGAACTTAGTAGGAAAAACTCAAGAATTACCTCTTCCAGGGGCACCTGGGTGGCTCAGTCGGTTAAGCATCCAACTCTTGGTCTTGGCTCAGGTCTTGATCTCAGGGTTGTGGGTTTGAGCCCTGTATTGGGCCCCATTCTGGGCTTGGAGACTACTTAAGAAAAAAGAGAATTATCTCTTCCACACAGTTTTACTCCTTGTGGGAGTTTTCTTTTTTTTTAATTGAGGTAGAATTCATGTACAATAAAATTCAGTTTTATGTGCGTTCAATTCAGTGATTTTAGTACATTCACAAGATTGTGCAGCCACCACCACTATCCAGTCTCAGGAGATTTTGATCACCCTGGAAAGAAACACCATGTCCATTAGTAATTGTTACCCATTCCCTGACCTCCCACCTCTTAGTACTTGGTAACCATTAATCTGCTGTGTATATGGATTTGCTAGTTCTGGACATTTCATATAAATGGAATTTACCTGTTTATCAGTTGATGGACATTTGAGTTTTTTCTGCTTCTTAGCTGTTGTAAGTAATGCTACTGTGAACATTCATGTACAGAATTTTGTGTGAACATGTTTTTATTTCTCTTGAACATATACTTAGGAATGAAATTTCCAAGTTACAGAGTAACTTTTTTTTTTTTTAAGATTTTATTTATTTATTTATTTGACAGACAGAGATCACAAGTAGGCAGAGAGGCAGGAAGGGAAGCAGGCTCCCCGCTGAGCAAAGAGCCCAATGTGGGGCTCGATCACAGGACCCCAGGACTACGACCTGAGCTGAAGGCAGAGGCTTTAACCCACTGAGCCACCCACTTTCTTTATAAGTGAAGAAAAGGATTTTGATATTGACCATTTGATACCACTTCTAGGTAGATAATCTAATCCTTCTGTGTCACCATTAACACACTAAATGATAATAGCCATAAATTGAAGCTTTTACTGAACAATCATCTCTTACCCACTATGTGAAGAACTGGGATATCAGGGGATGGTACCATTTCTGTTATAGATGTCTTGAATTAGCAAGGGTTTGCGTTGTTGTTACTAAGAGAAAACTATAGAGGTCAGTAAAGCACATTAGAGAAATAGTACCCATATAGCCTTTGTTTTCTCACCAAAGTTGAATTTCACTTCTAAGAATTGTGATCTATCAATTGAGTTTGTCCCAAACTCTTTGGGGACTCTTATAAATTCAATTTCTAAATTCAAACTCTATCTTCCAAGGACGATCATATCTCATTTTTTATTGATGTAAACTGCCAAGTAATCATTAATAAAAACATAATTAAGCACTTACATGTGTCAGGCACTGTTGTGAGTTAATTTTAAATGAATTGGCATGAATTAGGTCCTGTCTTTATTCCAATTTTTATTTATTTTTATTGTTACTATTTTAAGTAGGCTCCACACCGAGCATGGAGCCCAACACGGGGCTTGAACTCACAGCCCTGAGATCAAGACCTGAGCTGAGACGAGAGTTGGACGTTTAACTGACAGACCCAACCAACCACTCCGATCCTCATTTTCACTTATTTTTTCTTAAGATTTACTTATTTATCTGAGAGAGGGAGGCAGTGAGTGCATGCACACAAGCAGGGGGAGGGACAGAAGGAGAGGGAAAGAGAATCTCAAGCAGATTCCCTGCTGAATGCACAGCCAAACATGGAGCTTCATCCACAACCCTGAGACCATGACCTGAGTCAGATGCCCAACTAACTGAGCCACCCAAGTGCCCCCATCCTCATTTTTATTTGTTTATTGGTTTAAAGATTTTGTTATTTGAGAAAGAGAGAGAGACAGAGATAGCATGGGCGGGGAGGAGAGGGAGAAGTAGCCTCCCTGCTGAGCAGGGAGCCCGACTTGGGACTCAATCTCAATCCCCGGACCCCAGGATCATGACCTGAGTCTAAGGCAGGTGCTTAACCAACTGAGCTACCCAGGTGCCCCCATCTTCATTTTTATGTGAAGGAACTGAGGTATAGAGATACTACAAAATTTGCCCAACGTTACACAGCTAATGAAGTCAGCCTTCAAACCCAAGCTGTCTGATCACAAGTACATACTCTTGAACCACTTCCCTGTATTGCCATGCCTCTCAGGTACTATGCAAATATAAATATTATTTGCTACTGTTAGTTACAGTTATTTAACACTTTTGTTTACCCAGATAGTAATCAGACATTTGCTGAATTCTCACAGCCTACCATTAGAATAAATATAAATGGGGAGAAAGTCTTGTGTTCCCAGCTGAGAATTGGGGTTCTTCTTATGACCAAGAATTCTATTTGTGCATCTTATATTTTTTCTTTTGTGCATCTTATAATTAACTTTCATTACTGGAGGAATTGGGGAATTTATGTTGATAATTGAGTCATAATAATACACTGTTGGTTTGGTTATTTAATTCTTTCTCTACCCCACTCTCTCATCCTGTTTCCATGGCTAAGAAAATCTGTGGTAAAGTGTGTTAATTGAGAGTAATGTTATGGGGCACGTGGGTGGCTCAGTTACGTGTCTGCCTTCAGCTCAGATTATGATTCCAGGGTCCTGGGATTGAGCCCAGAGTCACTGGGCTCCCTGCTTACTGGACAGCCTGCTTCTGCCTCTCCCTTTGCCCCTCCTCCTACTCTTGCATGTCTGTGCCCCTCTCCCTCTCCCTCTTGATCTCAAATAAATAAAATCTTTAAAAAAAAATGAAAATAATATTTTTAATTTTTGCAACAGTTGAGGAATTCTAGGACATATAGGATCAGTATTGAGAATCTCTATTTGGTTCTAGATTTTCTCTCACTTTAGGAAGAGAAGTAGGATGGACTATTAGGAGTTGCTTTGCCTTAAAAAATATCTGTAGGAAAGGCGCTTGGGTGGCTCCATCAGTTGAACCTCTGCTTTCGGCTCAGGTCATGATCCCGAGATCCTGGAATTGAGCCCCATGTTTGGCTCCCTGCTCAGCAGGGAAGTCTGCTTCTCCCTCTTCCTCCACCCCTCCCCCTGCTCATGCTCGCTCTCTCCTCTCTCACATAAATAAATAAAATATTTTTTAAAAATATATCTTTAGGGGGCGCCTGGATGGCTCAGTTGGTTAATGCGTCTGCCTTTGGCTCAGGTCATGGTCTCAGGGTCCTGGGATCGAGCCCCACATGGGGCTCTCTCCTTGGCAGGGAGCATGCTTCCCCCTCTCTCTCTGCCTGCCTCTCTGCCTACTTGTGATCTCTGTCTGTCAAATAAATAAATAAAATCTTTAGAAAATATATATATATGTTTAGGAGTAAAACATGTGGAAGACTAATCCTGTGTGGGTTTGACAGTTTCAGTTGAATGGGAGCAAGTTACAAGGAGTTAAAAGATAGTGGAGAGCTCTGACTGGTTATTCCTTCATTTTACAGTTGGCTCAAATAACGGTGTTGATGGCCATGCAGGAGAAATACCCAAGTGAGAGGATTTCTCATGCCACTTCACCAGGTGAGTAAGCAGAGTTTTCTGACCTTTGCTCTGTTTTTTCATAACAGAAATTTCCTTTGAAGGAAATACTTAGCAAACAAACATTCACTAAAATGCTGGTACTTAAAGAACAAAAATAATATGAGGCTATATTGAATAGAAAAACAGGCCTCTCCAAAAGAACAACTATTTATCTCTGGTCCTTCATGGCTTCCAAGAAGACCACATGATTGATTGGGAGGGGAGGACACATGAAGGAACAGAATGACTTTGGAACATAGTTCCATTTGAAATCAGAAAAACACAGCATAAATTACTGTGTTCTATGTTGTCTTTGTAGTCCTGTGGGTGGGTCAGTCATCTGCTAGCCCACAAAGATTGGAATTCTTCTTGGATGCCAACAGTCTCAGTTATGTTGTCACTAGAGACTCAGGAATTTATCTTTAGAATGGATTGACAAGATTTTGAAAGCTCAGTAGATATATTAAGTGGATATATTAAATATATATGTTAAACATACATAAATATGTAAATAAACACATATTAGATGTGGTATGTTTAAATAGAAGGTAGAATAGAAAAATAGCTTTTTGAATTCTGAGGTGTTTATGAAGAGAGGGGTATATTTTTTTCAACTAAGGATATATTTAACTTTAAAATCCTACAGTGCCTTACAGCATTTATTAGATGTTGGTTGTATTCTCCTAGGAGTGCTGCCCTGCATAGATTAAGCATTTTGAAAAAATTTGTTGAATCAGTTCAAGATTCCTTCAGCAAATATTTATTGAACATCTGCTACATGCCATTCACTGTTTTAGGGCTGGATTGTATAATTTCTAATGACAATTATGTTATAACACACAAATTTGGGGGATGTAGCAATTTCTAACAAAACTCACTGCTTTTCTGATGACTTTGTCTTTAGTAGTCTTTCATTTGATTAATAATAGTCTTAATATTTTGATTAAAAAGATGTTAGTGATAGGACATATGACATAACAAAAAAAATCAGCTTTCAAACTTGAATTTTGAAATAAGCATAAGCCTCTGTACCTATACCAAAATACATTTTTAAAAGTTTTATTTATTTATGTGATCTCTAGGGCTCCTGGGTGGCTCAGTAAGTTAAGTGTCTGCCTTCGGCTTGAGTGGTGATCCTGGAGTTCTGGGATCAAGTCCTGCAATGGGCTCCTTGCTCAGCAGGGAGTCTGCTTCTTCCTCTACCCCTACCCCATGCTTATGATCTTTCTCTCAAATAAATAAATAAAATCTTAAAAAAAAAAAAAAAGTGATCTCTACACCCAGCATAGGGCTTGAACTCACAACCCCAAGATCAAGAGTCAGATGCTTTACCGACTTAGCCAGCCAGGCACCTCGTAAAATACATTTTTATTTTAGCAAACATCTCTTCAGAATTGATGTATGGAGTGAGCAGATAAAAAAGTGGTACTGGTAAAGAATGGAAGATTAGTAGTGATAAGAAGTAAGAGGCCAGAAAGATGGTAATAGAGGCCCTCAATCGATTTTCAGTATGTTATTTTATTTTATTTTTTTTAAGATTTTTTTTTTTTTTAATTTATTTGACAGACAGAGGCCACAAGTAGGCAGAGAGGCAGGCAGAGACAGAGAGAGAGGGAAGCAGGCTCCCTGCTGAGCAGAGAGCCCGATGCGGGGCTCAATCCCAGGACCCTGGGATCATGACCTGAGCCAAAGGCAGAGGCTTTAACCCACTGAGCCACCCAGGCGCCCCGATTTTCAGTATTTTAGAAGGCCTAGAAATTTGTCTACTGGTTAGAGAGATAACACCATATAGACTTACCTAGAAGTCAAATTTCTTTCCTTCTTGCTAGAATTATGCTTATATGTACAGATAGTAACACCAGCTAATCTTACGCTAATCAAAAGCTCTGATCATTAGGTATGTCTTAATGAAAGGGTATTACAGATTACTGCATGTATATAGATTCTTTCACATCAGGCAGTCCACTGTGACCCCAAGAATAAGTCCTTGGGGAAAGTTAGAGTAGAACTTCAGTAGAAGGCAGAGGGTAGCAAAAGTAGAAGAAAGTGAGTTAAAAAGATGGGAGAAGCACTAAAATTGGAAGAAGAGAATAAGGTGATTTGTGTTCAAATATCATTTGCTTCCCAGTAAATCAAAGAGTCTGTAGAACCTCGTTTTATGATTTCAGCTAAAACTCTGACATTTTAAATGGATAAGTAGCCATCATTACGTTTTTGTCCATTTGTTTACATGGATCATCAGATACAGTTTAGAAAAATTATAGTTTTTTTTTAACAATGAATACTGGTAAATCAGGTGTTTATTGAATGCTTGCTACCTATGGCCTTCAAGTAGCAAGCTATTAAAGTTCAGTAAATCTCCTCAGTCTTGGGGCGCCTGGGTGGCTCGGTTGATTAAAGGTTTACCTTCGGCTCAGGTCATGATCCCAGGGTCCTGGGATTGATCCCTGCGTGGGGAGCCTGCTTCTCCCTCTCCCTCTGACTGCCACTCTGCCTACTTGTTCTCTCACTCTGTCTCTCTGTTGAATAAATAAATAAAAATCTTTAAAAAAATATCTCCTCAATCTAGTTTTGTCTTACCCACTTAGAAATTTTAGTGGGTTTTTTGCATTGCACTCAAAATAGTGTTGAACTCTTCAGATTGACTTCTAAGGCTTAACCATGATCTGGATTCATCCTGCCCACTAGGTACCCCAGTTCAGTCAAGCATCGGTTTTCTTCTTTTTTCTTTCTCTCCTTCCTTCCTTCCTCTCTCTCTCTCTCTCTTTTCAATTTATTTATTTGAGAGAGAGCCCACATGCACACAAGTGGGGTAAATGGCAGAGGGAGAGAAGCAAACTCCTTGCTGAGCACAGAGTTCAAATAGGGCTTGATTCCAGGACCCCTAGATCATGAATTGACTTGAAGTCAGACACTTAATCAGCTGAGCCATCTAGGCACCCCCAAGCAATGGTTTTCAACAAGAGACTGGACTGCCTATTACCCTAAGGAGCATTTGGAAACATATGGTATATTTGCATGTTTCATAGTGATGGTGGGATAAGGTTAGGGCTGCTACTGGCATTTAATAGGGACCGAGGATGCTAAACCATCCTGACATGTATAGACTACACATTGAGGAATTGTCATGCCCCATATGCCAGAAGCACCTACTGAGAAATCCTTTAATAGGAAAGAATGTGGATATTGTAATCAAAACAACCTGGGTTCAAATCTCAGCTCTGTCCTCTGTAAAATAGGGGTGATGATACTGTTCAAGTAAGTAAGTAGATGAGATCATGTTGGTAAAGTGTTAGAATTTCTAGATTTCAAAAAATGGTAGCTACTGATAGATTCCTGGGTTCTTGGTAAGTCTTTTTTCTGTCTGTGAACATTCTCACATCTCATGCTATTTCCATTCAAAATTAACTAATTTAGAGAAGCTGAAATAGGCACAGGAGAAAGAATGATGCTGTTTTTTTCATAGGTTTAAGTGCTTTATTTAAACAGTCTTGTGGGGTTACATCAACTGGTTCACACTAAAGATGGGAAATGTCGCTTGTTTCAGGTTCCAGTGTAATTCAAAAGGGTAGTTCCCTGGGAACTGAATGGCAGACCCCAGTTATCTCAGAGGCTTTTCGGAGTCGCTTCAGCCGCTGCTCAAGTGTGGCTGACAGTGGAGACACAGCCATTGGCACATCATGCTCAGACATTGCAGAGGGTAAGTTTGGATTAATGTTTTGATTACTAATATGTGTTGTCATTTTCAGATTGTGTTCCATGTTTACTGTCAATTCCAGAATATTCATAACTTGGGCACTTCAGCCAAGGAGTTTGCTTGATTTTTTTACTCTGTGTTTCTTACATTTGGCCCTTTTCTTTCAGTTTTTACTGTTTGTCCTATTTTAATAACTTTTTATAGGTTTCTTGTCCTCAAGTCTTTTCCCTCTACTGCCAGGTTAATCTTTCTAAAAGCCTGGTTTTATGGTTTTCCTTTCCTGTAAATCCTCAACTGCTTCTGTTATTTGGAGGATAAAGTTCAGAGGCCTTAATTTTGTGATCTGGCTTTCCCACCCAATCAGACATATTTCTTACTGTTACAGAGTGTGGTGTTTTACTATGCAATGAAAAAGCACAGAACTTTTGTTGTTGTTGTTGTTGTTTTGGATATCTGAGCTCTTTTCTTCTTTAATCCAGGCCCATTTGTGTTGTTTCCACCTCTTCTTGCCCTTTCCAGCTGTGCTGATCTTATTTTTCAAAATCTAGTGAAGTGTCTGACTAGACTTTTCCCATCCCTTCCACCCATTACTGATCTCCCTCTCTGCAATCTTTTTATTTTTATTTTTAATCTTTTAAAGATTTTATTTATTTATTTGAGAGAGAGAAAGAAAGCACGAGAGGGGTAGGTCAGAGGGAGAAACAGACTCCCTGTGGAGCAGGGAGCCCTATGTGGGACTCAATCCTGGGACTCCAGGATCAAGACCTGAGCCAAAGGCAGTTGCTTAACTAAGTGAGCCACCCAGGTGCCCTGCAATCTTTTTTAAAAAAATAAGATTTCATTTATTTTGAGAGGGAGGGTGGAGAGAGAGAGAGAACAGGAGCAGGGGGAGGGAGAAACAGACTCCCTGCTGAGCAGGGAGCCCTATGTGATGCCTGGGATCATGACCTGAGCTGAAGGCAGACACTCATTCCACTGAGCCACCCAGGCACCCCTCCCTCTCTGCCATCTTGTAATCTTCATTGTGTCTGCCATTTGGGGGTCACTTAAATTAAGTAATAACTGCCAGACAGTGTTTTACAAGAGTATTTTCTTTTTTAAAAAATTTTATTTATTTAAGTAATCTCTATACCCAATATGGCTTTTGAACTCACAAACCAAGATGAAGAACCCCATGCTCTACTGACTGAGCCAGCCAAGCATCACAAGTGTATTTTATTTTTTCATTTAGATAGTGAGTTCCTAGAGGGCAGAGGACTTGATGGTAATAGTAACTATTTATTAAATACTTTGTGATGGATACTATACTAAATTTTTTCTACATTTTTTCATTAACATCTTTGAGAACGCTATGAAATATTATTTCCATTTTACAGCTGAGAAACCTGAATTTCTTTTTTTTTTTTTAAGATTTTATTTATTTATTTATTTGTCAGAGAGAGAAAGAGAAAGCACAAGCAGGCAGAGCGTCAGGCAGAGGCAGAGAGAGAGGCAGGCTCCCCGCTGAGCAAGAAGCCTGACGCAGGACTTGATCCTAGGACCCCAGGACCACGACCCGAGCTGAAGGCAGTGGCCCAACCAACTGAGCTGCCCAGGCATCCCTGAATTTTTTTTTTTTTTTTTTTTCCAAAGAGTTATTTATTTGAGAGAGAGAGAGAAAGATCATAAATGGGAGGAGGGGCAGAGGAAGAGAATCTTCAAGCAGACTCCCTGCTGAGTGCAGAGCCCTACACAGGGCTAGATCCCACAACCCTTGAGATCATGACCTGAGCCAAAACCAAGAGTTGGACGCTCAACCAACTGAGCCACCCAGGCACCCCAAGAAAGCTGAATTTCAAAGTGATTAGATTACTTGATTAGAGTTACAAAACTAGTCACTTTAGTACTTTATCAGATGTCACACCCACTATGATAGCTATAATCAAAAAGATAATAACAAGTTTTGGTAAGAATGTCAAGGAATTGGAACCTGTATACATTATTGGTGGGAGTGTAAAATGTTGAAGCTGCTTTGGAAAGCAGTTTGGCAGATCTTCAAAAGGGTAAAACATGGAGTTACCCTATGACTCAACAGTTCTACTCCTACCTATATGCCCAAGAGAAATGAAAGCATATATCCACACATAAACTTGTTACATGAATATTCATAGCAGCATTATTCATAGTAGCCCAAAAATGGAAACAACCCAGATGTTTATCAACTAATGAATGGATGAGTCAGATGTAGTATATCCATATAATAGAATATTATTCCGCAGTAAGAAATGAAGTACTAATACCTGTTACAAAATAGTTGAACTTTTAAAACATTTATGCCAAGTAAAGCCAGACACAAAAGGCCACATACTGTATGATTCCATTTATATGAAATGTCTAAAATAGGCAGATCCAGAGAGACAGAAAATGAGTGGTTGTCCAAGGCTAAGGAAGTTAGGGTAAATGGAATGTGACTGCTAAAGAGTAAGAGGTTTCTTTTTTTGGTAATAAAATATTCTATAATTGATTGTAGTGATGGTTACACAACAATGAATGTAATAAAAACCATTGAATTGTACACTTCAAGTGGGTGAATTGAATGTTATGTGAATTATATTTCAGTAAAGCTGTTTTTTAAAGAAAAGGATAGAAATGTTTGAAAATAGAAATGGGTAAAAAAAAAAAACAGTTATCTACTGTATTGACCCTTAGACACCTGGCATTTAATAGTTTGATAGCTGTGTGTATATGGCGTGGTGCTCATAAATGTTGAGTAGAACTGAATCATAGATTTTGTTGTAGACGGACTTTGAAAGTCATTTAATCCAGTTCTTTTTTGCTGGTGAGTAACAAAAATTCTCCAAGGGGTTAAGTAATTTGCCTAATGTCACACAACTAGTCAGATTCAGGTCTCCCAGCTGTAGTATTTTTTCTGTCACTTCTGTAATCAAGTGTTACTCTCAGTTTAGTTATTTGTTAAGGTTTTGTCTACATTGCAGTCATGGGACCTTTTTCATTTTGACTAAATAGTAGTTCTTTTAAAAATCAAACAATGGTCTAGATTTCCCCCTATTGAATTTAGTGACTGTATTTAATTCAGTCACGTTGTTACACAGATTCTGTGCTTTTTATTCCTTTGAGCGGGGAAATATATTTCCTGTGTAGTGCATTCTTTTTAAATTATAGTAGCCTTGATGTGATGCCTTTTTTTTTTTTTTTTTTTAAAGGATCCAAGGTGGGGCACCTGGGTGGCTCAGTCAGTTAAGAGTCCAACTTTGGATTTCAGCCCAGGTCATGATCTCAGGGTGAGATATGAGATTGAGCCCTTCATCGGACTCCACATTCAGTGCACTCTGCTCAAGATTCTCTCCTTTTCCCCCCACTTCTACATACACACTCCCTCTAAATAAATAAATAAATAAATCTTTGAAAAAAATAAAGGATCCAAGATGTCTTCTCTGCCATGTTTGTTACGTACAGTGGTCTTTATCTTAACCCTTGCTTATTGTGTCCATCCATCCAGCTTGGTTTTATTAGGAGCCCAGTTGACAAGAACCCTTATGACTGGTATAAAATATAGTTCATTGTTGCATCTTCTTTTTTTCATTGTTTCTTCTTTAAAGTGAACAGGTTTGCTTTTGATTCTACCCTTCATTAAAATGTTTTACCTTGAGGGGCACCTGGGTGGCTCAGTTGTTAAGCATCTGCCCTCAACTCAGGTCATGATCCCAGGGTACTTGGATCCAGCCCCACATCGGGCTCCAGGCTTGGCAGGAAGTCTGCTTCTTCCTCTCCCACTCCCCCTGATTGTGTTCCTTCTCTCACTGTGTCTGTCTCTCTCTCTGTCAAATAATAAATAAAATCTTAAAAAAAAAAAAATTTTTACCTTGAAGAGTTGTAAGGGATGGGGTAGAGGTGGATACTGGCGACATCAGAAGACTTTCAGCTTTTTATTAAAGACTGCAGTAGTTAACTGGCTTAGTTCAGACTCCCTTACTTCATAAACCAGTAAGGGATATAGACAGAAGTGATCAAGATTTAGTAATAGTTAAATCTACCCCTCACTAAGAAAGCATGGTTTTTAGAAAGAATTAGGGAGTGGGGCAGAGGGTATGGTTGAAGAGAGGAGAGATTTAGAAATATGAATATCCTTAAAGTGGCAAAACCCCAGTATTCTGAGAACTGTAGACTTCTCTAAAAATCACATATCCCATACACTAAATTTTGAGTCTTTGAAAATTGTAGAAGGTAAGTGGCCCTTTTGAAAATGAGTGTTGTGGGACACCTGGGTGGCTCAGTCGGTTAAGTGTCTGCCTTTAGCTTAGGTGACGATTCAGGGGTCCTGGGATTGAATCCCACATCAGGCTCCCTGCTCAGCTTCTCTCTCTCCCTCTGTCTCTCCGCCTGCTTGTGCTTGTTCTCTCCCTCTCTCTCAAATAAATAAAATCTTTAAAGAAAAATGAGTGTTGCTGTTTTGCTTCAAAATGTTTCAAAATACAAACCAGACTTAAGGTGTAACTTGACATTTTATAGCAGTTTGTCAGAATTGCCAGTTTTCTGGGTCCCTGGGTGGCTCAGTCAATTAAGTGGCTACCTTCAGCTCAGGTCATGATCCCAGGATCCTGGGGTCCCTGCTCAGCAGAGAGCCTGCTTTTCCCTCTCCCTCCACCTGCTGCTCTGCCTACTTGTGCTCTCTCTCTGTCAAATAAATAAATAAATTCTTTAAAAAAAAAAAAAAAAGAATGCCAGTTTTCTTACTATAAATAAACTTAATAGATAAGTAACCTGCTGAAAAAGATTTTTATTCTTTTATCAGTGGATCAACCACACTTCTAGAAAATTAGAAGTCCTGGGTCATTTGATACCTTTCCAGGCTTTGGTTTTGGCATTACTACTTTGGGGGTTATGGGCTCAAAACTGAATTTGGTGAGTCTTGAGAGTAGGTGGTGCTGTAGATGGAGAATGGAAGGAGGGGTTACAAAGCACAATAGCAGTCCTTCATATGCTACAACTTCATGATCTTCTGTTCCATAATTATACTTTGAGAGCAGAGACCCTTGGTGAGAGTGAATATTATGGTACCGTTACAGAGGGTTTGAAGTGGAGAGCTTGCTATTCTTGGAAGTTTTCATCACCACAGTCTGCTTTAGCCTGTTGCCTATGCCTATGTATAAGTTATAGGACCTCAAAAACTGTGTCCTTAGCCTCTGAAATGTTCTTGGTCCTTAGAAGCAGATACATTTATCAGAAATTACTGTTGTTTTGTTTTAGTATGGCCTTTTATATATATCCCCAAGATAATCTAAGTATAGGAAATTAGATACTTTGCCTTATCTCATACATTATAAGGGATAATTTGGCATGTCCATGGTTTTTTTTGGGGGGGGGGTTGTTTCTTTGTTTGTTTTTTAAAAGATTATTTATTAGAGCATGTACATGGAAGGAAAAGGGAGAGAGAATCTGAAGCAGGCTCTGAGCTGAGCACAGAGCCTGTTGCAGGGTTTGATCCCTCAGCCATGAGATCATGACCTGAGCCGAAACCAAGAATTGGACACTTAACCAACTGAACCATCCAGGCGCTGCCTTTTTTTTGTTGTTGTTAAGATTATATTTATTAATTTATTTTAGAGACAGCATGAGTGGCGGGGTCGGGGTGGGGTGGGGGGACACCGAGGGAGGAGGAGAGAATCTCAAGCAGATTCTGCTCTGAGTGTGGAGTTTGATGTGGGGCTCAGTCCCTCAATCCTGACATCATGACCTTAGCCAAAATCAAGAGTTGACATTCAACCAGCTGAGCCACTCAGGTGTCCATGGTTTTATTTTATTTTATTTTTTTAAAGATTTTATTTATTTATTTGAGAGAGAGACAGTGAGAGATAGCATGAGTGAGGAGAAGGTCAGAGAGAGAAGCAGACTCCCCGCGGAGCCGGGAGCCTGATGCGGGACTCGATTCCGGGACTCCAGGATCATGACCTGAGCCGAAGGCAGTCGTCCAACCAACTGAGCCACCCAGGCGTCCCTTAAAGAGCTACTTACAAACCCATATGAGAAGATGGTAGCTGATGTGTAGTAATTCTGGGAAAGGTTATAGTATCTGTCCTCATTAGCTGAGTGTGTTCTGTGTTAGTTGATGGAAAGAAAAAAGAAATGAATTAAATTGGTTGTCTACTCTTCATGGTAGATGTGCTTGGTTTGTAAAGAGTACTGGATATAGTTGAAAAAGGAAGACAGGGGTATCTGGGTGGCTCAGTCAGTTAAGTGACTGCCTTTGGCTCATGTCATGATCCCAGAGTCCTGGGATTGAGTCCCACACCGGGCTCCTTGCTCAGCAGGGAGCCTGCTTCTCCCTCTCCCTCTGCGTGCCACTATGCCTACTTGTGCTCACTCTCTATCTCCCTGTCAAATAAATTAAAAGGAAAAAAAAAAAAAGAAAAAGGAAGACATTATATTCCTTGTCCCCTTACTCAGTTTACTCCCTGCTAAAGGTAACAGGTAGGGGCGCCTGGGTGGCTCAGTGGGTTAAGCCTCTGCATTCGGCTGAGGTCATGATCTCGGGGTCCTGGGATTGAGCCCCACATCAGGCTCTCTGCTCAGTGGGGAGCCTGCTTCCCCCTCTCTCTCTGACTGCCTCTCTGCCTACTTGTGATCCTTGTCAAATAAATAAATAAAATCTTAAAAAAAAATAAAATAAAGGTAACAGGTATGTTTCCTGACATTACTGTCTTGTTTGCTTGTAGCCCACTGCCTTGACACATTAATTCCGTGACCCTATAGTCTTTTTCAGAGTAGCACTTGAAAGTTGGAAATAATGTAGAAATGTGTACCTTCTGTAGTAGGTCTAATGAGAAAGTTGTCCTCCAAAATCAGGCAAGAGCTAAAGGAAGCAGAAATTGAGTATGAACGAAAAGTGAAAAGTCACAGTTGGATATAAACAAGGGGGAAGTGAAAGGCAAAATATAAAATAGAGGATTTCAGTGTGTACCCACTTGAGAGTGCTCCCTGTGCTAGAGTGAAACCTGAGAGTTACTAAGAATAACTTCACATATCCAGGCAGTCAGGTCTGGGGTGTGGGGGAGAGAATAGAATCCTGATTCAGATGCTGTACTCCCTGTCCTGGACACAGAGCAGCACTATCTATCCACTTTGCCTATTCTTCGGATAGTTCAGATTCATTGCTTACCTTCACTGGGAAGCTTTTGGAGGCCACAGAGAATTCTGGCAGCCCTTGGAAAGAATATTTTTATTGGATTGGATTGTAGCTTGAGAGTTGCCCAGCTCCCAGAAGAGTGAGACCTAATCCATTTCCCGTAAGTAAGTGGTTTTTTGGTTTTTGCTTTTTGGTTTTAAATTTGTTTCTTAGCTTTGTTTGTAGACTGGCAAGATTTTTTTCAAATAAAAAGGACAGAGTGTAAGTTAAAAATAAAGCTGATGTTGCCTTTTGTTGGTTTACCTTGTGAATGGCATTTGAGATCCTAGAATACACATAACTTCTCAGTTAGGCTGCCTTTCTGCCTGATACTTATGATGATCGTATCTATTCTGCTTGGTCTCAGTCAGGAGAGAACATCTGGCATAGCAGCCAAACTCAAGAAATCCTGCTGCTGGGTTGCCTGGGTGGCTCAGTCATTAAGTGGCTGCCTTCAGCTCAGGTCATGATCCCAGGGTCCTGGGATCGATCCCCACGTCAGGCTCCCCGCTCAGCAGAGAGCCTTTTTCCTCTCCCTGTGCCTACCGCTCTGCCTACTTGTGCTCTCTGTCTCTCTGTCAAATAAGTAAGATCTTTTAAAAAGAGAGAAAGAAATCCTCCTGCTTCAGTTTTGACTTACGGAAGATTATTCTCTTCGCAGATTTTTGTAGCTCAAGTAGCAGCCCTTCTTTCCAGCCCATCAAAAGCCACATAACCATTCCAACAGCCCATGTGATACCTTCCACTTTGGGGACCTCTCCTGTCAAGCCAAATTCTATACCTGCTGGACTCTCTTCCTCCAAACTCCCTTTGTCAGGGCTGGCTGAAAGTGCAGGGATGACAAGAAATGGAGACCTTGGTGCAATGAAACGTTCTCCTGGCCTGTCTAGAGATTTCATGTATCTTTGTGGTGCTCCTGGAGAAAATGGAATTGAGCAGTCCTGGTTTCCAACAGTGGGCCATGAAAGAGAAGAAGAGGTGAGGAAGTTTGATATGCCCAGTATGGAGTCTACCCTTAATCAGTCGGCAATGATGGAGACACTTTATTCTGATCCCCACTACCAAGTCCACTTTCACAACCCAAGAGCTGACACGAACAAGGAGTTATACAAAGTGTTGCCTGAGACCAAGAAGGCACCGGGCAGTGGGGTGGTATGTGAGCGGAATGGACCTCACCCTAATAGCAGTGGAGTGCTCCCTTTGGGACTCCAACCTGCTCCTGGCTTCTCCAAGCCTCTACCCTCTCAGGTATGGCAGCCGAACCCTGACCCTTGGCGCCCACATGAGCGGTCTTGCGAGCTCAGCACTTGCCGGCAGCGGCTGGAGATGATCCGTTTGCAGATGGAGCAGATGCAGGTAGAGACCCTTCTTTCGCTGGATTTTGTGGGTTCTTTGCAGATCTTAGAACTCTATAGGTTTAGTCCTGTAAGTTTTGACTCTAAAGAAAACATTTGTAAGACAGACGGAAGATGTTTATAGATGGGAAGTGAAGGCTTGTGAATGCCATTGAATATGTTGGTCATCTAATTAAACACCAGATGGGTCCTCCAGAGTGGAGAGTTACAACAGAAGACCCCAAAAGGTGTGACATTAACCCCGATTGTGTACTTATGTATCAGTACGCTAGCTACTTTCACATACGAAATCTTAATTTAATCCTTGTAGCACTTTGATGAGGTAAATGTAGAAATTTACCAGGTTCTTAGAATAAGTAATCTGCCCAGGTTCACAAAGCTGGTAAGTAGCAGAGCTAGGGTTTAAAAACCATCTCTGAACCCCTGTGTTTCTTCCATTATACTAATTTTGTGTTTAAAAAAAAAAAAAAAAGCCTTGTGCTGCTTAAGAGTGGGAAGGAAAAAGGCAAGACTTATTCTCCTTTCCTGGTTGGTTAGGACATCTTAGCTCCTGCTTTGCCTCTCTTGCCAGATAATGAAAGATAAGTGACCTTTTCTTAGAAACTAGAGCCTTCATGAGCAGGGAGTGTCCAGTTGGCAGAAGTCTCCCTGGCAGGTTCTTTCCAGTCATGCATCAGAGCTAAAATTATTTCATAAACACTGGGCCTCCTCAGCTGAGCCAAAGTGAGCCTTGACTAGAGACCCAGCTGGTTACTGCTCAGGTGCTTTCCAGGTGCCTGTGGGTCAAGAATCAAGCCCCTCTCGGCCTCCTTGTCTTCCAGCTTCAGAATGGAGCCATCTGCCACCATCCTGCTGCTTTTGCTCCATCACTGCCCACATTAGAACCAGCGCAGTGGATCAGCATCTTAAACAGTAATGAACACCTTCTGAAGGAAAAGGAGCTCCTCATTGACAAGTAAGAGGTCAAGGGGTGCCCTAGTACCAGGCTCTGCTCTCCCAGCCCACACTGAGGGCACCTAATGAGGTCTCTCCAAGGGTAGCACATCCCTCTCTGTTTGGGTCCGTGCCTTCCTTCATGGTCGGGCTAGGTTGGCAAGCAACCTAGTTCTGTATTTGAGTAATGGGATAGGCCAATTGTGTATGCTCTGCAGGGACTCTGGGAGTGCCTGAAGCGGGCAGTCAGTCCTTTTTTTTTTTTTTTTTAAAGATTTTATTTATTTATTTTTATTTGACAGACAGAGATCACAAGTAGGCAGAGAGGCAGGCAGAGAGAGAGGAGGAAGCAGGCTCCCTGCTGAGCAGAGAGCCCGATGCGGGGCTCGATCCCAGGACACTGGGATCATGACCCGAGCCGAAGGCAGCGGCTTTAACCTACTGAGCCACCCAGGTGCCCCCAGTCAGTCCTTTGTAGCTGATCTTTCCTCATTTCCCCCAAGTCAGCTTTCTTATTTGCTCTTCCTCCTTCAGCAAGACAGTACTGTCCAGACGCAAGGCCTTTTTTGGTTTACATAGTATGAATTGTATCCACTTAAGGAAAGTGGGGGCTCGTGTTGCCAGTGGGTTAGTGTCAGTACCCTGGACCTCATTCTACTGGCTTTTGCAGGCAGAGGAAACATATCTCTCAGCTGGAGCAGAAAGTACGAGAAAGTGAACTGCAAGTCCACAGTGCCCTTTTGGGCCGTCCTGCCCCCTTTGGGGATGTCTGCTTGCTGAGGCTGCAGGTAAGCATTGGCAGCCAGAATGGCATTCTGGTTGTCATAACTCAGTGTCTTCCCTTTGCTTGGTACTATGGTATCCAGGAGATAGAAAAGGGATCAAGTGATATAAGGTCCCCTTGCCCTTAAAAGGGTAGGCATCCTAATTATAAAACATCCCTCATTCTGCCTTTGTGGAGGCAGAAAAGGCTCGAGGGTAGAATCAGGTATGCCTTGCTGTCAGGACATACTTGGGAAAAAAACGAAGTCAGAGCAAGGTACATAGTAAGCTTCTTGAACTGGGTGATGTTCTGATAAGTCTTAATCTACCAGCTGTAGCCAAATGGAGGGAGAGGCAGAGGTAATGGGATTTAGAGCCATTCTCATTTTTTAATTTTTCCATGTCTAGGAGCAAGTAAAGGTAGTCATATTTTCACTGAGGGCAGTGGCTCCTAGAAAAGCTTGCTTTGCTTGCTTCTTCTGCAATATGGGCTTCTGAGTGATGAGTATTAAACAGATTATAGTACTGGCTTTGCCACGTAGTGGGCCTGTCAAGACGGTTCTATCTTATAGAATCAGAATGTTAGAGTGAGAAAGACCCTTATATAAAATCTGGTGCAGTCCTCTGTTGCACTCCTCTCATTTACTGGTGAAAAAATTGAGGCCCAAGAGTGAGGAAGAACTTTTGCCCAAGATCATATAGAGGATGAGTAGAGGGGAAAATGTGAGTGTGCTTCAGAATCACCTGGAGGGCCTGTTGAAACACAGATTGTTGAGCCCCATCCCCAGAGTTTCTGAGTCAGTGGGCTGGGAGTTGGGCTCAAGAATTTCTGTTTCTGACAAATCCCCAGGTGATGCTGAAGATGTTAGTCCTAGGACTACACTGTGAGAAGCACTGCTTGAGGAAATTCTTAGAGAAAGATGATATTTGACCACAAAGTAGATCGAGGATAAGTAAAGTACATGGGACTGTAAGGGTGAGGAACCATTATGTATTGAGAATCTTTATGCAGGAATTGCAGCGAGAGAACACTTTCTTACGTGCACAATTTGCACAGAAGACAGAAGCCCTGAACAAAGAAAAGATCGAGCTTGAAAAGAAACTCTCTGCTTCAGAAGTTGAAATTCAGCTCATCAGAGAATCACTCAAAGTGGCGTTGCAGAAGCACTCAGAGGAAGGGAAGAAACAGGAAGAAAGGGTGAGCTAAGGAGTTGGTAGCTTTCTAATTCACAAAGGAGTTGGCAGTCAGCCTTCTCTTGCCAAATCCAAAGCTGTTTCTGGCCCCCATCCTTGGAACTAGGAGGAACCAGTTGGGTGAGATCCTACATTGACTTTTCGTGCAGGACTGGTCTGTTAGAAATGGCACTCCTCCTTTTTGCTTCATCTCCACAAAACTGCCACAAAGTCCCTCACTGCCCCGGGTTGTGATGGGCCTCCCAACTGACCTGGATAGAAAACCAGCCTGGGCAGTCATACCAGATGGTACTATTGTAAGATGTTTAAACATCTGTGGTAAATTTACATCATCCAGCCTGGTTTTCCCTTATCCTGCCTAAAAAGTAGAAAAGAATTCCTTGTGTGCAGCCAATTTGGGAATTTTTACATTTTTCCAAGGCTCTTAGAATCGCCTTAGGGTAAGATTGGTCATCATAGAAGGAGCTGATTTGCTTCTGTTTAATAGCTTGCTGTAATGCAGATGGTCTTGGAGGGCCAGTTTAGTAATGTTTAGCTCTGGACCACATGCATCAAAATCAACAGAGCAATGCTGCTTAAACTCTAATGTGCTGAAGAATCACTGGGTTTTCTTGTTTAAAATGCAGATCCAGAGGCACCTAGCTGACTCAGTTGGTGGAGCGTATGACTCTTGATCTCGGGGTTGTGAATTTGAGCCCCACGTTGGGTGTAAAGATTGCTTTAAAATAACATCTTTGGGATGCCTGGGTGGCTCAGTGGGTTAAGCCGCTGCCTTCGGCTCAGGTCATGATCTCAGGATCCTGGGATCGAGTCCCGCATCGGGCTCTCTGCTCAGCGGGGAGCCTGCTTCCCTCTCTCTCTCTCTCTTTCTGCCTCTGTCTACTGTGATCTCTCTCTGTCAAATAAATAAATAAAATCTTTAAAAAATAAAATAAAATAACATCTTTTTTTTCTTAAATAAAATAAAACACAGATCCAGATTTAGTACTTCTAAGGTGGGGTGTGCCTGAGGTCCTGCATTTTTATCAAGCTCCCAGGTGTTGTTGGTGCCACTAGTATATCAAGGATTTAGAGGCTTGTTAAAAAAGAAACTTTTAGTCAAAATACATGTATCTAAGTTAAATAATCTAATACCAATATGTTTATAATAAAACTTAGCTCTGTACCCAACCCCACTCCACAAAGATTTCCATCCTTAACTCTTTTTCTCCTGGCATAAACCTCTGTATTTCTGAGTATTATTCTTGAGGTTTTTGCTATTTTTGTTTCATGGGTGCAGTATCTTCTCTCTCTGATGATATTGATTATATCTTTTGGGATGTCTGCCTCTGCTTATAGTGTTGTTTCTTGTTTTTTGGTTTTGTTTTGTTTTTAGAACGTGTTCTTTTTTTTAGTATCTTTCGTGTTAGAGGCTTGGTGATCCTTGAATGAATGGGCACTCATGTTTAAGAATGAAATATTTGAAAGCTGGATAGGAGCTCTGGGTTCATGGTAATTTCCTCATGGACTGCATTATAGGATAATCAGATTTAGACTGCCTTCTCATTTGGGAACCAACAAATAATAGTATCTGAATGTCTTAAACAACTCTGTCCAGAAAAAAATCAATCTTCAGCCTGTTGCCTAGTTGAGAGGCTAAGGACAAGAATGCTTTTGGCCTTTAGGATCTCAATACTGAGAAGGAGACTAGGCTTAGAGTACCCCAGTTCTGTACACAGATTTTTACTTACACTTACTTTAAACCTAGTGCTGCACTCTCTCTACTGTGACTGATATCCCTGAGTTTGGAATCTCCCTCATCTGATTTCTCCAGAGAATAAATCTCCACCAGTCTCCTGTTGGGAAAATCTAGGGTAAAAATGGTATCCAGCTAAACTATATGTAGATTTCCAGTGAGTGCCCTGTTTTCAGATCTATGGCTGATACCTGCCACAGACGTACCTGGTACTTCAAATACAGAGGTACTTGTGGGGTTTGAAGGGCACAGTGTTTACCAAGTTGTCTGTAACTCCCACTGCAGGTTATAACTCTTAAGTAATTTATCTGCTGTCTTTGATCTTCTATAAACACATTGAAATCTCTCATATACTTTTGTCTCCTATTAACTTTTTAAATTTAGTATTTTATTTCCTTTCTGTCATTTTAGAGATGTTTTGAAGGGGAGAAGAGATAAACATCTCGGGGTAATCCACCACTTTTTTTTAAGATTTTATTTATTTGACAGACAGAGATCACAAGTAGTCTGAGAGATAGGCAGAGAGCGGGGAGGGAAGCAGGCTCCCCACCGAGCAGAGAGCCCGATGTGGGGCTTGATCCCAGGACCCTGAGATCATGACCCGAGCTGAAGGCAGAGGCTTAACCCACCGAACCACCCACGTGCCCAGTCCACCATTTTTTTTAATTTAAAGATTTCCCCAGCAGGAGACTGGATATTTATTCTCTGGAGAAATCAGAAGAGGGAGATTTCTCAGGGATATCAGCATTTTCAATAAGCTTCCCAGTTGAGTCTGAAGCATATTAAAATGTGGGAATCACTGGTTTAGAGCTTGAAAGGGTACAGGTTATATCTGGAGTAAAGCCTTTGGCTGATTTTCAGGTTATCTACTCTTAGTACTTTCTTATCTTTGGATTATATTAGGTCTTTGATTACTTTTGATATCAGGAGATCTGCCTTTTTCTCTACTTTCACTTGCTTCCTTCAGCATCCTTTTTTCATAACCCAAAATAAAAAACATAATAGTGAAGAAAAGTCTCCATTCAGCAAATCTGGTGTGTGCCCACTCTGTGCCAAGCATCGTGCTTGGCACATCATCTTGGGGCTGTGATAATGAGCAAAATAGACACAGTTCCTTCTTCTAGAAGTTTAGAGTCTCATTAACCCTTCCAGATGATTGCTTAACTTTTAAATCGTGTGGTGTTTAGGGACACCAGGACAGACCAGACCACTATAAATAACAAAGACACTCCTATTATTTGGGAAATTCTAAGAGTTTAGAAGTGTGGGCTGGAGAAGTACACAGCACTAGGCAGAAGCCACCTGTGTAGTCCGAGAGGCAGGGAGCCCTCCCTGAGGAAGGGAAGATCATAACCTGAGCTGAAACCAAGAGCTGGATGGTTAACCAACTGTGCCACCCAGGCATCCCAGCAATTAAATATTTTTAAAGACATATCCATTGTTGTTTTAGATATCATGCTATCACACACTTCATACTAGAGAATAGTGTAAACATAACTTTTACATGAACTGGGAAGCCAAAAAATTCATTTGACCTGCTTTATCATGATGTTCGCTTTGTCACAGTGGTCTGGAACCAAACCCACAGTGTCACCCAGGTATGCCTGTATATAGAAGTGCTACCAGTTTTTAAAAACTGCCCAAGGAGCCCTCCTTCCCTACCCTTGATTGGAAAGTTCAGGTGTGTTAACTCTGCAGTTTATGCCCTAATCTTAAATGGTAAAATTTGATCACCTCCCTGCCTTCATTGTAGTAGAACATTTACAGTCCTAAGGGCAGAGACAGTGGTCACTTCAGAAAAAATGTGATGTTCAGAGTCCTAGAGGAGTCAGTAAAGACAGATTCTTGACACTTCTTTCCCTAGGTAAAGGGTCGTGATAAGCATATCAATAATTTGAAAAAGAAATGTCAGAAGGAATCAGAACAGAACCGGGAGAAGCAGCAGCGTATTGAGACCTTGGAACGCTACCTGGCTGACCTGCCCACCCTGGAAGACCATCAGAAGCAGAGCCAGCAGGTAGCAGCAATATCTGGGCATACCTGGGGCAAGCAGGGAGTAGCCAAGCAGGGGCCCTGTCTCAGCTCCTCCAGTACACTGTTACACTGTGGTTTCCTGAAAGGAAAAACCCAAAGGAGTCCTGTCCGGACTCACATGTGTCAAGTTTGCAACTCAACTGCAAAGTTTTGGGGATACCCAGACAGTCTTCCTTGGCTTGTTGACCTAAGCATGGAATCTTATCTCTCAGCTTAAGGATTCTGAGTTGAAGAGTACAGAGCTGCAGGAGAGAGTGACCGAGCTGGAGAGTTTGCTGGAGGAGACCCAGGCAGCCTGCAGAGAGAAGGAGGTTCAACTGGAAAGCCTAAGACAGAAAGGAGCAGAACTCTCCACTAGACATAGGTAAATACCCCAGTGTGGCTGAGGAACGGAGCAGAGCTAAGTTTACCCCACTCACTACCTGTGTGACTTTGGGCAAATCGCTTTACTTTTCTTTGGAATGTGAGTAATAGGAAAGCTGCTTATGGGTAAGGAATAGGTCTTTGAGATGGAGAGGGGAGGATGTAGTGGTGCAGTGGGGGCTTATTACTATATCATTTAGAAGGTCCAACCTAGTCCTCCGGCATAATACTGGGTAATAATTTCTGAGTACGTATGTGTTGAATGAGGGGAACCACTTTATAAACTGGGAAATTAGCTATCTGTATATTTGCAAAGCAGATCCTGGTGTTAAGAACTGGGAAAGGAGGGGGTTATCTACATTTTGAAGGTTATAAGATAAAGGCTACCAGGAACATCTGTTTCTCTTCAGCCCTAGGGATTGTTCTCAATGGTCACAACAGGTTCTAAGAACAAAACAAGATGCCATAATGTACTCTCTCAGGGTGTCTTGAGAGCTTCTTACATATTAGTTGCCGTTTCTGTAAATGTGATGGCTGTGTTTCAACAGCCTGTTGAACCAAATCCAGTTTCTAATCGGGTGGATTGGATTTCTCATCCCATATTCTATCACAGTGGCCCTGTTTATCTCAGCAGATGAACCATGATGAAAGTGATTGTGGGGATCTGTTGGAGGAGACCATTGGTTGGAGTCAAAAGAGAGGTTGGGGTCAAAGTCGACTCTGCCCTAGACTTTGTGTGCCAAGAAAAAAGTTTTTTTTTTGTATTTTCCAAAATTTCTGCAGTATACATATATAAGTTTTATAATCTAAATACATGTGATGAATGTTTATTTTTAAATATCAAAACAAATATAAAAGAGCTTTGGGCGGGTAGAGAATTGGTGGCACATATTAGATAGATGCTAGCCTCTAGGGAAGGGAACTAACGCATTAGGCAGCTTGTGTGTGACACACCCTATGTTATAACAGACCTAACATTATGGCCAGCTACAAGTTGGAAGCACCCAAGTGTCTTGCCCAAAATATACAGTAAATAATGGAATCGGGAGTCAAAGCCGCATCCGTCCGACTAAAATTCTTAAAAGAGGTCACTGTTTTTCAGCCTGCAAGATAAGCAGAGTGTGGAGGAGGCCAGTGGAGAAGGTCCAAAGGTGGAAATGGAGTCCTGGCAGAAAGAATGTGATTCCCTTCGAAAGGTGACGGAGCGTGTTCAGGCAGCAGTAGAGGGCAGGCTGAGAGGAGAGAAAAGATTGTGTACTGGGAAGGAACCATGAATTTCTGGCCCTGGGCCAGAGCTTTCCTCCCTTTTCTGAGAAGTCACCTCTGCATAATCTTTGCATTTAGGGATTTATCCTTATGACAGGCAAGCAGAGTTAGGGGAGGATATGCTTCTGAACGTCCAAACTAGATGCTCCAAAATGATGCATTGAAGCTTCATGCATTTCATTCATGTTTAGGCCCCATACAGACCTGTTGCATTGGGCAGAGTTCTAACCAGTGAGGTGGCCCTAATTCAGCAGAGAAGAAAGTCTCCAAACCTGTTGATGAGACTGATGTCAGGTTAGCAAAAAAGAAGATCCAGAAATGGTTCAGAGAATACCTGAGGTCTCAGAGGACAGGAAACTGGGCCTGTTCAGGTTCTCTCCTTAGTCAGTGCTATAAATAATAGCATCCAGCACAGCCCTGGATAGGATAGATTTCATTAAACTGAATTTTTAGTCATGTCCTTTACTAAAGAACCAAAATATACTCTGGTTATATATGAAGTTCATTCCACTCATCAGGGTGGGATCCCCCTCCCCCGTAGTAGTGGTTATAGGTCCAGCCTACATTCCTGTTTAAACCTCTTTGTGAGTAGAACACCGAAGTGTGAAGCTAGTTAGCTAGGACAGGGAGTCTGGATTATACTTCTCTAAGTAGAACTAAATTGTCTTCACCCTGGTTTCACTGTTGATTGCCTATAGCCAGTGGGCTAATAGCCAGACTACAGATCCTTGTGTTGCTTCTTGTAGTCCGACCTCACCATCAGCCCGTGCTTATAGCCTTCCTTGATAACTTTGCCTTTCAGATTGTGGAGAAGCAACAGCAGAAAATGGATCAGCTGCGTTTACAAGTACAGGTGAGCTGGTGTCCTTGTGATGTGGTGGTACACAGGACTTGATGGAATCTCTAGAATTTAGCCAACTCTTTATTCTGTGTCATACAATTTGCTCAGTGTTGGGAGTATAGCAAGAATGAGACCCGATCAATGCTTTTCGCCTACAGTCATTGTTGGGAAGGGGTTTAGCACAGTCTTGTGAGCTCAATGTCATGTTACTTTGGGGGAGCATGGAAGAGTTAGTCAGAGCAGGGGAGGTTAAAGAAGGATTTCTGGAGCTGATGAGCCTGGAAGGAGGAGGAAGAGTTAGCCAGGCAAAGAAGAAGAGCTGGATAGGTTGGTTTTGGAATTCCAGATAGAAGGAATAGTACTGATGGGAACATGGAGGCATGAAACAGAGTTTGCACACAGAGCAGCAAGCAGTTCGATATTGTTGAAGTAAGGTGGTGTGAATAGCAACTGGGCTATGGGAGGGCTTCATCTTTCCAACTAAGTTTGCTTTTATTCTTTTGATAGGTGATGGGAATCTACTATAAAGATGTATTTATTTATTTATTTCAGAGATTTATTTATTTATTTATTTCATAAACAAGGGGAGGGGCAGGGGGAGAGAGGAAGAGAGAATCTCAAGCAGACTTCCCACTAAGTGTGGAGCCTGATGCGGGGCTCAATCCCAGGATTCTGAGATCATGACTTAAGCTGAAATCAAGAGCCAGATGCTTAACTGACTGAGCCCACCCAGGCGCCCCATGGGAATCTAGTATAGAATTTACTTTGGATGTGATATAATTAGGTTTGCAGCTCAGGCTTGAGTGTGGAAAGAAGAGTGGCATTTGGAGAGGGGCAGGGCTGGAAGCTGGAGGAATATTGCAAATCCTGGTGAGAGATGAAGGAACCTGGCAGAAGGCAGCATAACGAGGAGATGTGAGGGAACAGATTTAAATGAATTTTAGAAGGTAAAATTGAGAGGAATCAGTGATTGACAAGACGTAGGGAGTTAAAGAATAAGGAAAAATTAAAGATGACTCTTGGTTTCTATTCTTGGCCAGTGTGTGTGTGTGGGGGGGGTGTCCTTAATTGGATTCTCCCAAGAAATCCTAGGTAGGTATAAATAAAAAAATCTTAAAAAAAAAAAAAAAGGTCGGGGGCACCTGGATGGCTCAGTGGGTTAAAGCCTCTGCCTTCAGCTCAGGTCATGATCCCAGGGTCCTGGTATCGAGCCTCGCATCAGGCTCTCTGCTCAGCAGCGAAATAAAAAATCTTAAAAAAAAAAACAACAACAAAAAGCAACAAGAAAAAATCCTAGGTAAAGCAAGTTCACTCAGGTTGTCTTTGGATTCCAAAAGAGGTTTTCATATCAAAACAATTGAAATACACTCACTCTGAGAACAGCTCAAAGCTGCAATTCTGCCTTTGCCATCATGCGGGTCAGGCTGTGTCTGTCTAGTTCCCCTATTTCAAGTCCTGTAAGGATAGTCAAGCCTAGTGAGTGTTTATACCCATTTAAAATCCCAGATTCTTGGTAGAGTTTCTAATGGATCTCAGATACATTTCCTGGAACCCACAGGTTCCACAAAGGTTGAAAAAGCCCGACACTTAAGTGGTACATTTACCCATGGTGAAATTCCTCAGGCAAATTAAGGTATCAGGTGAATTTGCTGGAATCGGGTAGATTCAAAATGGCCGCCTAGGGTATTTCATAGTGATGAGATGTTCTTCTTTGGCAGTTACATTTTTTTATTAATACAAAATTGAAAATTCAGAAAACTTAAATACTTGATAAAAATAAGTTTCAAAATTGGGGGAGGGGATTGGAATGAATAGAATGAAAAGCAAAAAAATAGCAAACATAAATACCTCCCTCTCCCTGACCCTGACCATCCCTTCACAAGCACACACTCTTCTTCCCTTCCTCCCTCCCAACTAGATTAGGTGCCTGTGGGAGTGCTTTCCTTCCCTTTATCTCTGTCAGAAGCGTTTAGTATACAGTATTCTCAAGGGCTTTGGCTATGAGCTCCTCAAAGACAGGTATTGTTTGTATCCTCAGTATCCTCCGTGAGTGTCACGGTAACTGCTCGGTAAATACTGAGCTGACCTGAATGGATATTCCCTGCCCTCAAGAAAGTTATAGGGGTGGGTGGGAATCACATGCACAGCCAACGAATGTACAAATGAACCATGACAGAGGTATGAGTAGCAGGGTGAGAGTATGATGAATAGGATCTGATTTGCAGATAGAGGAAGGCCGGGTGGGCCTTGAAGATTTCCTGGGTGACAGGCAGGGAACAGTAGCCTGCACAAAGGGGAAGGAGAGTACACAACGGCATTGGAGCTGGAGCCTTTGGGAATGAAGGCTTTCAGTCACTTGATGTGACTGGAGTGGAGGCTGTGGGGAAGGTAGAAAGAGATATGGTTAGAAAAGTAGGTAAGGGCCAGACTGGCCTGGAATGCCCTGCTGAGAAGCTGGCCTCTAGTGAGTACATGGTCGGCGACTACGGGAGGGTTTCAAAGGGAAGTAGCAGATCAGGGCCGTTCTACGGCAGTCTCCCGGCGGTGTGTGTGTGGTGGGGTGGGGCTTACGGTCTGAACCAGATTTGCTACGACTCCTGTGTAATCCTACCATTCAGACCCTAGAGCAAGAAGTGGCTCAGGAAGAAGGAACAAGCCAGGCCCTGAAAGAGGAGGCCCAGCGGAGGGAGACAGCTCTGCAGCAGCTACGCACAGCCGTGAAGGAGGTGAGCGGCGTCAGCCTCGCGGCTGGGTGCGGCCTCCGCACGCCCGATTGCTCTGTGAGCCACGCCCCCCTCCCTAGGCCCCAGGAGCCCTCCTGTCTGACAGTCCCTCCTGAGGTTTTTTGACAGAAGAATGGGAAGGGACATTGCACTATCCTTTATATTAAAGGTCCTAAGCCCATCTTAGAATGGCCATAATTACCCAGGAATGCTTTTTGGATGTGAGAAGTCTGTCTCTCTCCCTTTGTCTTTCTGTAGCCACAGGTATGTGGGGTTGGGGAGGAAGGGTTCAAGAAGACTGAGAGCTTGGTGTCCTCATGGAATAAACAGAGCTGTCAGCAAGGGGTGACCGAGTTCACTGACCTACAAAGGAATCTCCGAGCTGGGATTGTCACATGGCCCAGTGAGGGGGAAGGACTGGGATTGGAGAAGGAACTGTATTCGGTGTCTTTAAATCAGAATAGAGGTAGGGAGGGGAGAATGGGTCAAGGTGTTATGGGAGAGGGAGGGAAGGAGACACGGACATACAGGAGTAGCTGGTCTTTGTAGAGAAGCCTGACTCCACTGAGGTGAAGGTGTGAAAAGGCAGGCAGGACACATTCTAGCGCTGTGTTCTCTAGCTTTCTAGTTTCTCCAACCCCCACCCAGTGGCTGGCTGCTAGCTGTATTGTTGTCTTTCTTGCCCCCTTTATTCCTCTAACATACTCTGATCAGGCTGGCCGGTGGCCACTTTTGTCAGGGTGGCAGGGAAAGATTGAAACCAGTGTCTCCTCAGATTTCACAGTTCACGTTAAGCCTTCTCTAATAGCCTGATTAACAGAGTTGGCTGAGGGACTGGCTTCAGATAGAGTTCCGAGGGGCGGGAGCATCTTCTCTGGTTCCTGAACAGAAACCTGGAGGCTGGTGACTCAGAGTCTGCTGGGAGTGGTTTCCTCTCCAGTGCTGGAACCCTACAGGCCCGACCTCCCTGCAGGAGAATTTAGAATTTAGCACTCCCCCAATTTTGGGATTGGGGGAGTGCTAAGCCTGTTGGTAGGGGTTAGGAGGGGGGTATCACCTGTGACTCATACATAGCCACACACAGGTACAGATACTCTGCCCTTGCCTGGGCGTGGTTTAACATGTTTGCCTGTCTGTCTGCTCAGCTTTCAGTGCAGAACCAGGACCTGATTGAGAAGAATCTGACACTCCAGGAACACCTGCGCCAGGCCCAACCAGGGTCCCTGTCTTCACCAGACACAGCCCAGCTGGCATTTGAGCTGCACCACGAGTTGGCCAGTTGCCTTCAAGATCTGCAGGCTGTCTGTAGCATTGTGACCCAGAGGGCCCAGGGCCATGACCCCAATCTCTCCCTGCTCCTGGGCATTCACTGTGAGTCTTCAGACCCGTCTGGGACTCAGGAAAGAGTGGCTTTCATTCTCTTGTCACCCCCACCCAACTTTCCCATCAGTTATGGTAATGTGTGAACAAGGCTTTGTAGGCCTGGTCACTGCCCGCTGGGAGTTAACTAACGTGTTTAGCAGAGTAGACAGTAAATCTGTTTTGGAAACAGATTGGATACCTGAATGCAGAACAAACAAAAAATGGCCCTGAGGCAGCAAGTTTTTAGCCCACTATTCCATCTGCTTTTGTAAAAGCATGCTGTGTCCTGGGATACCTGGGTAGCTCAGTGGATTAATCATCCGACTCTTGATTTTGACTCAGGTCTTGATCTCATTCAGGGTCATGGGTTCAAGCCCAGCATGGAGCCTACTTGAAACAATGTGCCATGTCCCCAGATCATGGGCCTCAGAGAACTACTTATCCATACTGTCCCCTCCATGAAAGCACCTCCTAACTGACTCACTAACATTCTCTTGAAATGCTCTCCTACTCAGCTGCACAGCACCCGGGGACTCAGCTGGATTTGCAGAAGCCGGATGTGATCAAGAGGAAACTAGAAGAGGTTCAACAGCTGCGCCGTGACATCGAGGACTTAAGGACCACCATGTCAGACAGATATGCCCAGGATATGGGAGAAAACTGTGTTACACAGTGAAGAATGCTGGGGTGGCACACGCTCTGGTCCCCCAGGGAAGATCTGCTCTGTTGAGCGCCAGTCTGCCCAGGTTCTGCCCCGACAATCTCTTGCCTCCTGTCTGCTGCTGTTCCCAGAGAGAAGGGGTGGAGGGGTTAAGAACCTGCGTCTGGGGCCGTGGGCTTACTAAGCAACGGTGCCTGCCCTGCTGCACACTGGCTTTGCATTGTTGGATTGCATTTGTCCTGTCATTGGATTTACCCTTTGAGGGTGAGTTACTAATTAACTTCTGCAGGTTACCTGATAAGTCCTCACAGACTGTTCCAGCCCCTGGCTGATGTCAAAGTTAAACAGGCTGCTCAATTCCCTTTTCCATCCTCTGGGATGGATCCGTATTCATTCCCACTCCATACCTTGGTCCCGCTGGTGGCAGAGTTCAGTAGAAGGGCATAGAAAGTCTGAGTACCAGTCATGATGGCCATGTGAGAATTCTCAGGCCAGCAGGCCAGCCTGCGTGGGATCTGAGCTGGCTTTCTTGGGTGTTCTTAGGCCTGGTCCCACTGCTGCTTCCTCAGGGCTCTTGTTCTCACAGACACCTCAGAGTGATCTGTTTATTAGCAAAGTACCCACTAGAATTGGCCTAAGGATTCTATCCAGGCCTCCTCCATCTGTGCTGTCATGCCATTTTGTAGGATGCCCCACTCTCCAGCTGCCCTGTCCTTTGGGGGTCTGGCCATGTGGTTAGCACAGCTCCCTTGTCTTTTGTTCTCAGGCTAGTCAGGTAGCCCCCTTGCAAACTCTTCTTTATGGTTCTGGATTTGAGCAGGATTTTCCCCTAGAATACCACGGGGCAACTGTCAAGCTGCTCGCCTCCTCCTCCTGGTGTCTAAGGGCTGGCGTCCAGCCCTGACTTGTGCCTCTCTTTTGTCTGTGGGCAGGGTCCTTTCCTTTTCTTGCTCTGCGGCTTCTTGAGAGTTCAGAGTACCCAGTATAGTTTGGCTCTAAGGTATAGCTTATTTGCTGGGTTTTGTTTGGGGCCTTTGGACCCTCTGCTTTCTAGTTTCTCATGCCTCCTCATTTAGGGGGCATCTCACAACACAATTGTTTGTATCTGGTTCTTGGGCTGGCCCCAGGCCTGCACTAGATCTGGAGCCAGGCCAGCCAGGGCCTTGGAAGGGTGTGCAGGAGCACTGAGCAATCCCAGAGCCAGCCACCAGGAGCTTGTTGGTAAGCCTTGAGCAGTCAGAGAAGCATCCTGAACCTCACTCTTGGGTCTGAATGAGACTCCTTAAGTGTTTTTACAATTCTGTGTCTTATTTATGGAGTGATGTATCCCTTCCATTCAGAACAGCCCCACCCAGCCATCCCCCTCAGCCTCTGGGTTCCTTCCTGCCTCCTAAAAGCAGAGCTGCCTGGTTGGTCTCCACCCTGTGTTGGGAGCCCAGCCACCATGCTCACGGGTATTTTTCCTCAAAGTTTGTAAGCAGTTATTTATATGAATCCTTGTTATGTCAACTGGTTTGTATTGCCTATTTTGATTACAAAATAAAATATTTAACAAACTCTTCAGTTTTCCATCACAGTTTTCATCACCATCCCTTACTCCACCCTTCCTTTTGGCTTGTTGGGGCCAAGGGCTTGTTCAGCCAAGTTCCCCAGATGGCAGCAAGGAGGAACCTTTGGCAGGTCCAGCCTCATGGCTGTTTCTACCACTTCCGCTCCTCTGTTCTCTGTGGGGACAAATAAGAGCTCTTCCCACACAACTTTCTATTGGGTGAAGTTGCCCGAGTCATTGAGCAAGTCTGTCATTGGAGAGAGTTTCCGTAATCATCTGAGAGGAAGTCAGCTGCCTCTAGGTTGCTGTGAGGTGGCGGCTTCTCTGGAGCCAGGCAGGGCACTGTTTGCTTTAAGGGGCTGGGGTTATCTTCCTGGGCTGCCATTCAAGCCCTGGACCTGGGGAGGACTTGTGAGGGGAATCCTGTCCCACCCCAGACAGCCAGCCAAGCCTCCAGATTTGGACTGGTTGCTAGAATCTGCTCCCTCTGAACCCCTTCCCATTTTTTCTGGGAGCAGGAGCAGCTTTAGAATGCCATCTGGAATCAAGGTTGAGCTAGGGCCACCCTAAGATCATCTGTGGATATTTCACGAGGGTGGACCAGGCTCTCAGGAGTGCTGGCCAGCCTCTGCCTCCACCCTTTCTAGAGCTAGCAGCCTCTTACCTTGGCCTCCACCTGGTGCCTTGAGGGTGTGGCCCTGTCTCTGGCCACCACCCTTCCTTGTCTAAACCTGCCTGAGAGTAACTTTTGGGGAAATCCCCCCGGGGGGGGGGGTGCTCTCCCTGTTTTGGTGTGCCACGGGGTTACCCAGGTGTGAGTGTCACTCTGGGGACTGTGGGAGGGGGTCCCTTAGAGTGAGGTCCCCTAGCCAAGGCACTGTACGTTCCAAAACGGCCCAAGCCTTCAAAGCTCTGAGCTGCGCTGCGCTATCGTGGCACCAAGGGGTGGGTAGCTGGGTGCAGCTAGCCTGGGGAAGGCTGAGGAGGCGGCCTTTGCCACACCCTCACCCTCCCTTCCCTGGCCTTTCCGGCCACCCAGGCTACTCCCCAGCCTCACACTGAGCCCCAGATCTGGGGAAAGCCGAAGGGGGCGGCCTCTCTGAGCCCTGGGGTCCTTGGCGAGCCCGGCCACTGAAGGGGGAGGGGAGGGGGACAGCGGCGCGCAGGGCGGGGTCGCGCAGGCTCCGCCCCGGCCGCACGCCTACCCGTGCCGCCCATTGGTCCCGAGAGCGGTGACTCGCGGGCTGAGCAGGAAGGAAACCGCTCCCGAGCGCCGCGGCGTCGTGTTTAGGCCGTGCAGCTCCCGCTACAGCCGTCCGTCCGTCGGCTTGCCCGTCCACCCGCAGCATGAGCGGCCTGCGCGTCTACAGCACGTCGGTCACCGGCTCCCGCGAAGTGAGTGCACGCCTGGGCCGCGCTGGCGTGGAGCGCAGCCGGCGCAGTCTGGGCGCTACGGCCAGGCGCCCGAGACCCACCCCCAGGGCGGGGGCAGGACGGGGGTGGGGGGCGACGAGGTGCGGGGCTCGGCCTCTGGGGTCCGGTCCAGAGGTGGGCTCCAGACTCGAACCCCTCTTTTGGGCATCCTGGAGCTTTAGGAGCCCCAGCACGAGCTGCCCACGCCCATCCCGTTGCTCCCACACGCACTCCCTGCAGCCCCACTACCACCCCATCACGTCCTGATGGTGCCCTTCGTCTCCTCCAATTTGTGCGTACCTGGGTGGGGGTGGCCCCTCACCAGCCTCCACCCGAGCGTGCCCTGCCTTCCCCTCGCTGAGCTCCTCTCTCCCCCCCCCCCCCCCCCGAACTTTATCCCACTTCCCTTCTTCGTTCTGACTCTCCTCCGCATGGTGGTCCCTCTCATCCTGCACCACTGCAAGCCTGACTCATCGTCCTAACTCCCTAGTGGCCAGAACGCTGGCCCAGGCTGTGGAGGGGGACAAAAACTACTGGCCACAGCCGCTTTCTTTCTGCCCAGGGTTCCCCCGTCAGTCCTCCAGCCTGCTCACTAACCCCTGCCCGCCCTCTACCCCCAGATCAAGTCCCAGCAGAGCGAGGTGACCCGCATCCTGGATGGGAAGCGCATCCAGTACCAGCTAGTGGACATCTCCCAGGACAACGCCCTGCGGGATGAGATGCGAGCCCTGGCGGGCAACCCCAAGGCCACCCCACCCCAGATTGTCAACGGGGACCAGTACTGTGGGGTATGGGCCCCGGGGGCTGGGAGTGGGGAAGTGTAGGAGGACTTCTGAGTCAGAAGTCAGAGTCAGACCTGAGACAAAATGCCAGCACTCAGGTGACCGCCTCTCCCCTCCCCTCCCCTCCCCTAGGACTATGAGCTCTTCGTGGAGGCTGTGGAACAAAACACACTGCAGGAGTTCCTGAAGCTGGCCTGAGCCCGCTGGACTCCCGTCACCACATGCCCCCCAGCCACCGCCCGGCCATGAAGGACCTTATGACCAACTCCCTGTTATCCTAAAACCTTCTGACCTTGGAATCTTTCCCCCCAACCCAAGCCCCTTCTCCTCCCCTCTCTGTTCAAAGGCAACATTCCTTACCCACTAATTTCAGAAATTGTCTTAAGCAACAGCCCAAGTGCTGGCTGTCCTCAGCCAGGCCCTGAGGCTGCCACCCTGCCTGGCACTGGCTGATGGGTGCCTTGGCTGCTTCCATTAGCCAGGGCTCTGCCAAAGGCCCCGCATTCCCCGTCCTGGGAGCACCCTAGAGACAATTAAATGTCCCATTCCACTGACAGCGTGTCTGTTTGATATGACCTGGGCTCTTGCTCTGAGCGAGGCTGGTAGATGGGATGGTGCTGAGCCTGTGCTCCTGAGGGCAGCTCGCCTGAGCGGTCTCCTGTGTGCCACCCGTGTGTGTGATTGTGCATGTCTGTGGGTGTATGTCTGGCACATGCATAACCATGCGGATATCTGTTTCTGGAACCAGTGTGGGTGGGTCACCTCCTGATTCACACGCAGGTGATGGTGTCTTGACACACCCTGCTTGGTGAGTGTGGCACATCTGTGTGCCAACTGGTAACGTGTCTGTGCCATGTGGCCGCTGACCGGGGCTCCAACAAACTGGCTCTGAGCGCATATGTCATGGAAGTGGGTTCACCCAGTTTGGGGACAGTGCAGAGTGCAGAGGCTTTGTGCAGAGTGTTGAGGAAGTGTCCCCATCTTCGCACAGGGATCCGCCGCTGGCACACTCACACAGGAGGTTCTTCTAGCCCACCGAGGCTGAGCTGGAGCCCGCCTTCCCTCCACTGGATCTGCTTAGCCCTTCTGGGAAGAAAGAGGAACCTAGAGGACAAAGACCCAGCAGCCAGGCCTGCCAGCTGGGGCTCATGTTACAGAGGGGGCGGGTCGGTACCGCCCCCCGCCCCAGCCTAGCTGGGTCCGCCTGGCCAAGAGAGCCTCATGGAGCAGCCTGTGTGGGAGCGGGCTCTTTATTTGGAGCTGGGGCCCGGAGCAGGCGGCGGGGCCCGGCTTGTCCGAAGCAGCAGCGCTGCATTGGGCACCAGGCCCGCGGCCTGCAGTGTGACTGTGTTGTCGCTGTAGACTGTGGGTGGGAAGGTACTGATGATCTCGAAGCTGGTGGCGTCCACAGCCCTGGGGATGGGGCAAAATGGAT